CAGTCTTCTCTAATTAGATTTTCAGAACATTGGTAAAAAATGGAATATATATTGAGAAATCAAATTTCAGTAAAATGGAATATGAAAAGTACAATCCTAATATAAAAGGTAGAAAAAAGGAAAGAGTCAATTCTCAGACCAGAGAAATGATACTTACCTAATGACAGTAACGTTGATTCACACACAAACCATGCCTTATGAAAATGATATAACAATAAATAATATACATGTATGAAATTTGAAGGCTTGGAATATGCAAACTATTTCTTTACTTAAAAAGATTAAAATTTCGATCTAAACTACTAGCTAAATCCACTAAATTATATTCCAAGAATTTATAAAAAAAGTTATGCTCGTCTCTTTTCAAAATGTTTTCAAAATGTCATAATTTTCAAACCCACTTAAATAAATGTCATAATTTTCAAAACGTTTTGCAAATTTTAGCCGCACACGCCATAAGAGAAATAAACTGTGAATTTCTCTTTTGTATATTTAAGAATTTTTTTATCTGGGCCCAACAATCATATCCGGCCCAAGTTTGAATTAGATCATATAGTCCAAAGTGTCTCTTTTCTCCAACCCTTTCTCGGATTGTCATTTCAAGTTTACGAGAAAAACGTCAAATCGCTGTTTCGTTTTCTTCTCAAATTTTCTCTTTCTTGCTTCGTCGTCTCCGAACCGATTGAGGTATGTCACTCTCCTCGAATCGTTGCTTGATTATCTATCTGATGAATTTGTTGTTGTTATTCATATGTGTTGTTTCTTTCTTACCTTTTTTGTTTCCTCAAGATCTATCGCCTCCTCTGAAAAATTCGAAGCTGAGATTTGTTGGTTTTTCTTAGATCGGGTCTATCGATTATATGTGGAATTTTGTTTAGTTATTCAGATGCTTTCATTGATTTGTTTCATTTAGTAGGTATATGAGAGATTCATTAGCTTGATTAGGTTTGAATATGCCTTGAAACCTCATTTCAATAACCTTATAGCATACGTGCGTGACAAAGTTATCTCTGATGATAAGTTATTCGGTGGCAAGTTTTTATTCCCCAAAACCTCGTTACTAATGATATGCAATAATATAGCTATAATCGGTTGTTGTAACACACATGCACTACATCGGGAACTGTTTCTAACAAGGCATAATGGGCTGCGATTGAAGAGATATTCCAAGCGTGGCCAAGAACCGCCGGTCTTCTAGTCGTGATGAACCCAATCAGTCGCCAGAACTTCATCGTCAAGTCACGCCCTGAATAACTTTGAGAGAGTGTGTCTCGTTCGTTCTCATTCATTATGGATTCATTACGATATTTGCTCTTATGTTTGATCCTGTGAGGATCGACGAATTTCTCTAGTTGGTTATAGCAATAATTTGTGTTGATGGATACAGCATTATTCAGTCCATGCTTTCCCTGATGCAGACTTTTTGTAAGGTTGTTGATTTGGACGATAAATGAAATCGAGCCAAACATCTATCATCTTTACGTTTTGCTTCCATGTTGCATTTTTAGCTCTAAACAAATTTTCAATTTGATTTTGGCAGTGTTCTAAAAAGCGTTTTAGGCGTTCGCCTAGACGCTAGGTCCCTATAGACCGTGGCGATTACCGTTTTTACCGCCTAAAATATTATGGTATTATAACAATAAAATAATATAAAATTTCTTATATATAAATCGTAAAATTTTATATATTTGGCTATAAAACGATGAATATAAATATAATATAAATTTTATTAGTTATAAATTATGGTTTTTTATAGAGACATTTGCAAAAATGTCACAAATCAAAACACACTTTGCAAGCATGCCATCTTTGTGTGCGCTTTTGCAAATTTGTCACATTTTTGTCGAGAAAAGATAATTTTGGCCCATTAAAAAAATATAACTTTTCTCCAACC